ACCTTTGCTTTGTGGGCGAAACATTTTGTGTTTTAAAATTAGAGATAAGCCGCTTAGCAGTGAAATGATACAAAAGGGAGTAGAAATCTGGAACTCTCTCCCACAAAAGGCTGTGGATGCGGGAACCATTCGAATTTTTACGACCACTGCCTTTTCTCTTAATGTTTTTCAGTTGTAAGGGTCAGAATAACAAGCGATAGAGCGTCTTCACCCTCTATGACTCGATACCTTGTCAGACAAATTACGGTATGTGACATACAAACAAAAATATACAGTAAAGTCACTTTACAGTATATTGTGTGAAGCACTTTGGGACGTCTCAAAGACGTGATGAGGTGCTATATTAAATGCAGGGATTATTAATATTACACTGTGTTCCAGCCAGGACTGGCGATTCATTCATAACAGGAAAGCGTCCCAAGGCACTGGACAGTAAAGGCCCTCTCCACCATCGTCGGGTCTTAGCCTCTCTCCCCCCCACCCTGTGGAAGTCCATCTCGCTCTGCCTTGCTCCCTCCCTGGCCTCGCTCCCTCAAGAGCCCCCCTCTTCGACCGGGTCTTCGGTCATCTTTCTACCCCCCACCCTCCGCCCCTCTTGGTCCCAATCCACAGCTCGAGAAGCTATTGCCTCCAGTGGGTGCGGGAATCCAGATCAAGGGGTATCACCTTAAAATTAGAGCGAGACCATTCAGCAGTGAAATTAAGACAGTTTTTCACCCAAAGGGGAGTGCAAATTTGGAACTCTCTCCATCAATAGGCTGTGGATTGTGGATCTATTCACATTTTTAAGATGGGAGTTCGATAAGATATTTGTTAGGTCAGGGCATTAAGGGATACGGGGCGAGGGCGGGGAATTGGGAATGGAGGTACTGATCAGCCATGATCTTATAAATGGCGGAACAGGCTGGAGGGGCTGAATAGCCTACTCCTGTTTCTATGAATCCGAATGCAAACCCGTTTTATTTTGTGCAATAGGGAGCCAGTGGAGCCCAGTGAGGACTCGGGTGATACTCCGGAACGGAGGTCAGTATGGGTGAGTATGCGAGTGGCGCATATGTCGCTTTTGTAATTATCATGTCTATTTTCTGAGCAGATGTTCAAGGGATCCGAAATGATGAAGAGAGTTGAACACTTCTACACAAGGAATAGCGGCCGTCTCTGTGGCTATACACCTAAGGACAATTACCGAAATGAAGACTATCTGCTATCGGGTGAGTGTTGTGCCTTATCATTCACATGTGGAGTCCTGTAGCGTAGGGGTTAGTGCGCTCGCCTCGCAAGCAGGAGGAATTGAGTTTGATTCCTGGGCAGGAAGAAACCTTGGCAAGTTTCTTTACTGCACACACAAAATCAGAGGTAGACCTTTTAGAAATGAAATTAAGAAGCAGTTTTTTCCCCCCAAAGGGCAGTGGATGTCTGAAACTCTCTCCCCCAAAAGGCTGCGGAAGCTGGATCTACTCATTTTCAAGGTGGAGGTAGAGAGATATTTGTTAGGTCAAGGGATGGAGCGAGGGCGGGGAATTGGGAATACAGGTACAGATCAGCCATGACCTTATAAATGGCAGAACAGGTTGGAGGGGCCTCTGTTTATCTCGCGATAAATTGGAACATGTTTGTTAGTCGATTAGTCGGTGGCTTTTCCGGGTAATAATTCTTCCAAAATTTGTTTTAAAAACTTACGTACTCAATCCACGACTGTTTGTAATACTAATCCTTGCATTTGATATAGAGCGTTATCACATTGTTGAGACATCTCAAAGCACTTCACAGAATATACTGTAGTTAATGACTGTAAATTGTGACCGAAATCGACAGCCAATTGTGCACAGCATTATCCCACAAACAGTCATGGGTTGAGCAATCACTTTGTTTTAAGTTATTTTATTTTGAAGGGATTATTACCCCCCGGAAAAGCAAGACGTCGCGAAGATGTGATCAGGCACTGTATCAAATGCGAGGAGTATTATTATTTAAAATGAATCCTGTGCAGTACTTTGAGGCATGAGAGTCCGGACGTGAAAGCATTATAAAAAATCCAAAGATAAATATTACTATCATTACTACGGTGTCTCTCACTTGTTTTCTTCCAACTCCCCAGGTATGAGAGAAACCTCGATCAGCATCAGGGTGACTTCGTGTGACTTTGTCATGCCCTGGAAAGAGCTGACAGAATACCAGCGGAATTCAATGCAACAGAAGTACTCGGATGGTTGCGAATGCGAGGTATTGAGATCTTTTTTGGTCAGCCGGGAGTCTGACACATGCGGAAATCCATCACCGTCCTTAAGAGTCTCCAAACCCAACTGAGAATCTCATGGATCCCACCTACACGTGGAAATCCCAAAGAAAGATTGTTGGAATGCTCTGCGCGATCTCTCTCTCTCTCTCCCTGGAGGCACACATCCTACTTACCTAATTCCAGAGAGTATTAGGAGCAGATTGACAAGAGCCAAGGCTTGGGAGGAGCCCAGGGTCGGCATTGGGTTAACTGCTTGAGTCGAACCTGCTAAAATCACATAGCTTGGGAATTGATATCCAATGCAATGAGGATCACTTTCTGGGGGTACACTAATGGTCCTGCACACTACTGGGTGCAATTGGCTGCGCGTTTCACCCACAAAATATACAGTCACTGCACTTTACAGTATATTCTGTGAAGTAGTTTGAGAAGTCTCGAATACATGATCAGGCGCTATATCAAATGCAAGGATTATTATTATTAAGAACATCAGAATTTTCTAGGCAACAGAAGACCAAAGTGGAGTCCTGTAGCTCAGTGGTTAGAGCACTCGCTTTGCAAGAGAGAGACCTGAGTTCAATTCCAGGCAGAGGGCGAAACCTCGGGCAAGTTTCCTTACTCCACACAGAGCCTAATAATAATCCCTCCAAAACCAAAACAATAATAAATTGGTCATTTTCAATCTACGACTGTTTGTGGGACATCGCTGTGCGCAATTGGCTGCCGCGTTCGCCCACAAATGTACAGTCAATTCACTTTACAGTGTGTTCTGTGAAGCGCTTTGGGATGTCCTCCCGACGTGAAAAGCGCTATATCAAATGCGAGGATTATTATTATTATTATTATTAAAGTCCATCTTGTTTGCCTCCACCGTGTTGGCAGTCGCTTGACATGTCGTGCCCCAAACTATATACTGCGTCCCCAGATTTTTTTTATAGCAGAAATCAATCTAATTTGTCCTTGAAGCAAATGACGTTTTCTGCTTCCGCCGTCTCTCTCGGGAGTGAGCCTGTTCTATAAGTTTACCACTCACGCCACTGAAGCAGTTTCTGCCGATGTCCTCTGAATTTACCCCCTTCAATCGCAGACTGTTAATAAACAATTAAGAATATTATTATTAATCATAAGAAGTCTCTTGAATAGAACTCTAAGTGTCTGTGGGAAGGGAGCAGGAAGTGTTGCGGAATAGAACAGGGGGTCTCCTGAGTCAGGAAGTGTGGGGTCAATGCTGAGCCTAATAGTTCTGATGTTTCTCACTCACATATTCTTCCACAGATTATCCCGTGCTAC